ATAAATCATTATTCATCATACATTATTCGATCTATTTATTCGAATAACACTTTATTCAAGTAATACTTTATTCGTGCAACAATTATTGAGAAGTTTCAATACAAGATTTACATTGTCTTTTTTATTTTGATGCAATTGAGGCAAAACAAGTTGCACTCGCAATCGTCAACATCTGAAAGCAATAATTGAGTTATGGATTTATTTATATTTTTTAAACGAATCGCTGTGTATTTTTTCGATATAATACGTCGATAAGTTCCTCTACACCCGTAGAATGATTATTTAGTTACACAACAATAATCAATCTACTCAAACGTAGCAAATTTAGCGATGAAAAATTTCAAAAGAAGTTAATTCTATGAAGTAATATTGACGAAATAAATCGATAAACTATGAAGAAGCACTTTATATTCTATCGTGTTTTTATTCAAATTGATTATTTTCCGTATGAATTCCTGTAGGAATAAATTCTAGAATGAAATCACGGATAAGAACTTATTCCAATAAAATCTTATTCGAATAAAATTTTATTCGGATAGATGTTTATCCGAATAAATTGTTATTCGACTCAATATTTATTTGATATTGTCGCATAAAATTTTATTCGGATTTTGTATCTCGATCAATTTTTATTCGATTGAATTTATTTGATTGAATTTATTCGATAGTGTTGATTAAAATTGTATTCGTTAGTCTTCATCTTTTATCCGTCATCCGAATAAAAGTTTGCCCAACTCTGAACGATGGTCACATTAAGTCTGAAAAATGAGGGCGGGATGAGGCTTAAGACTAGAAGTTATCGGTGGTTTCGTAACGCGCACGAAAAATCCGAAATAAAGAGAAGGTCGATCTAGGTTTTAATGGCAGCACAATGCCTCTGCGTTTCTTGGAAAAAGCAATAACGCCGGCGTAGTTTAATACGGAAGGGCATTCAACCGTTGCCTTGAAATTCACTGGAGAAAAGGGGTCGGTTCCTTGGTTCTATCCTTGGGTGGAGACAACTCCCGGTCGATGCTGCTACTGATTAACGTGTCACACATACCGCATCTTTCCGTTCTTCGAATATATTGGAAAGCTTGGTGTTACCATCGCGAATGTATTCATCATTTCGACATTGTCACACTTACATTTCCTTTTCGTTCCAGTCTTGCCCTTTTTTCTCTTTGGACATTCGCTTTCACGCCCCGTCATTACTTAACTCCGAAGTCCCGTCATTACTTAAGTACGAGATTGTAATTTCATTCCACTTGTTAGATTTCGAAATATTTTTCATTATTTGTCAACTATGTTTGCTGTGTACAGTCGATCCTGATAATATGCCGACACAGTTTTTTTGAAGTTCGACCAAATCACTTGAATTTTATTTGAGCTGATAGAGTGATGATTTCTTAGCGACAATTTGTTTTGCATGAACTTTATTCTTTTCATTGAAGTCGAAATAAAATTCTGTTCTCTTGACGTCGATACTTTTACATTCGAAGAATTTTCTCAGCTAATCTACGAAAAACTCGACCATATTTATTAACAAAGTAGTAAATAACGCGTTTAAAAAAGTGAGATTATTGAACGATAGAAATAGGTAGTCTGTTTAAATACAATTTGTTGAAAGGCACCAACCAAATTTACCGTACTGTAAAGACAAACAATTTTTACATTGCTTCTACAGCTTACTGCATAATTATAGACTCAAAGTAACTTTTACATTGTTACTGATATCTAAACGAAAACTTAACAAAATTATCATGTATATTTCCATTCTTATTTTATATTGTTTTGTATATAAATTATTGTATACACTTTATTGTATATTTTATAAATATAGAGTTAATTTTTCAAGTACCATAATTGTCAGCAATCTTGTTATGTCCCCTGATCAAGGACGCTCGAGTGGAAATAATTATGCATTTAAGTAGACGCACATTAAATATAAATCTTTTTTCTCTAAAACGATTATTACAACCGAAAAATTTCTGATTATTGTAACTGTGAAGAAAATGGTACTGCGAGGAGTTAACCTTTTGTTTAACTTGCGAAACGTTGCTGTATCGTTCGAATCATATTATGAATGCTATGTCGTGCAAAAGCGATCAATAACTGAAGCATACGAGATCTATAAAAACAGAGTTACGTACGCAAACAATTTTACACCAAATTTCATGTTTCTTTCTGCATGAACAAACATGCCTTTTTTGATTGTAAATGGAACACGAATTGCGGCCAATTGTGTGCACCTGAAATGTTGAAAGCTTATAACTCTTATGGTCCCTATTTCCTATTTATCTTTTATTCATGGCATTCGTACAAATTTTTGGGGAATGTCCATCTTGTTTAATGTTTATAACAATATTCCTATAAATGAAATTATATTTAACACTATAATCGCTACAATTTTTACATGAATGTAGAAATTAATTTACTTCAATATAACTAATTTACCAGTTTATTACTTCAATAAACAATATAAATAATTATTAGACTACGCATTTTATGCACTTATGAGAAAAGTTTATGCAACTTTTTTGCCTTAGAATTGACTTGAAAAATTTTTATTTTGTATAAAAATCCGCGATCCAGTAATGAATTTGAAATTGCTGGAAATCTTTGAAAAGAGGCGAAATTTTTTTTTCGTTTAAAAATAAAATCCTGAAACCTTGTGAAAGGTTTCTAAGTTTCTAAGAACATAACACGTGGACCTATTCTTTGAATTTTTATAATCCGAATGGAATCGAGTCACTTTAACTGTTCCGTACGTCTAGTGTTAATTTTGGAAGAAATTGGAAAGGCTTAATTGAATCGGAATCAATTAATCCGATTTCCTGGCGAAAGACAAAGGACAAACATAAAAGGGGTGGAAGAAGGCGTCGACATTTAAAGGTGAACGCGGAAAGGCGAGTTTCCGAGCCAATAAATGGTTCCACGTGAAATCAAAGGAACCCGGTTTAATTTAAATCGCAGTCTGTTCCTTAACCCTAACTGCTAAGACCAAGCTCGGTCTCCATTATGAATAGCTCCGTAAGATTTACGCTCTGTCCTTCCNTAACAAAATTATCATGTATATTTCCATTCTTATTTTATATTGTTTTGTATATAAATTATTGTATACACTTTATTGTATATTTTATAAATATAGAGTTAATTTTTCAAGTACCATAATTGTCAGCAATCTTGTTATGTCCCCTGATCAAGGACGCTCGAGTGGAAATAATTATGCATTTAAGTAGACGCACATTAAATATAAATCTTTTTTCTCTAAAACGATTATTACAACCGAAAAATTTCTGATTATTGTAACTGTGAAGAAAATGGTACTGCGAGGAGTTAACCTTTTGTTTAACTTGCGAAACGTTGCTGTATCGTTCGAATCATATTATGAATGCTATGTCGTGCAAAAGCGATCAATAACTGAAGCATACGAGATCTATAAAAACAGAGTTACGTACGCAAACAATTTTACACCAAATTTCATGTTTCTTTCTGCATGAACAAACATGCCTTTTTTGATTGTAAATGGAACACGAATTGCGGCCAATTGTGTGCACCTGAAATGTTGAAAGCTTATAACTCTTATGGTCCCTATTTCCTATTTATCTTTTATTCATGGCATTCGTACAAATTTTTGGGGAATGTCCATCTTGTTTAATGTTTATAACAATATTCCTATAAATGAAATTATATTTAACACTATAATCGCTACAATTTTTACATGAATGTAGAAATTAATTTACTTCAATATAACTAATTTACCAGTTTATTACTTCAATAAACAATATAAATAATTATTAGACTACGCATTTTATGCACTTATGAGAAAAGTTTATGCAACTTTTTTGCCTTAGAATTGACTTGAAAAATTTTTATTTTGTATAAAAATCCGCGATCCAGTAATGAATTTGAAATTGCTGGAAATCTTTGAAAAGAGGCGAAATTTTTTTTTCGTTTAAAAATAAAATCCTGAAACCTTGTGAAAGGTTTCTAAGTTTCTAAGAACATAACACGTGGACCTATTCTTTGAATTTTTATAATCCGAATGGAATCGAGTCACTTTAACTGTTCCGTACGTCTAGTGTTAATTTTGGAAGAAATTGGAAAGGCTTAATTGAATCGGAATCAATTAATCCGATTTCCTGGCGAAAGACAAAGGACAAACATAAAAGGGGTGGAAGAAGGCGTCGACATTTAAAGGTGAACGCGGAAAGGCGAGTTTCCGAGCCAATAAATGGTTCCACGTGAAATCAAAGGAACCCGGTTTAATTTAAATCGCAGTCTGTTCCTTAACCCTAACTGCTAAGACCAAGCTCGGTCTCCATTATGAATAGCTCCGTAAGATTTACGCTCTGTCCTTCCGCCGCAGTCATTATGCATTTTACGATACGGCAATTTGCCTCTTCGGCACATAACGGTGCTTCCTAATAATCAGAAATTGTTAAATTGCCATGGAAATGACGTAACGATTTCGAAATACTTATTAATTAATTTCTTTTTATCCCAGACGAACGTTCGAATTTTTTGACGATAGATTCTTGACTTTATAAATATTTTTTGATACATATGTGTTTATTTTTCATTTAACATAAAACTAAAAATAGAGTTTCTGCGGCTGTTTAGCTATTGCAACAAAAAATATTTGTTCAATTCGTGTATATTGACTTAAAATCTGTCGATGTTTCTTTTCCTCTTTGTAAAATCTTCGCTCTCACATCGTTTCATTTTCTGGCAACTACTATTTGTTCTTCTCGTATTAAATATTTTGTTATCTGAAAAGATTACCACAAAAGGTTTCCTCCGTTTGCAGTTTAGTGTTAATAGACGCTAATAATATTATATACCAATTTCATAGTGTCAACAAAAGCGACATTTTCAATCATTATTTCAGTTATGATCGAATATTCAAACGTTACGAAAAAGTTTTACTTGATGTATTTAATTTATTTGCATATCTAGTATAAAATGCATTTCCGTATAAAATTCTAAACAATCATTTCTTTCTGTGTATTTTACAGCATTTGCGTGACAGTGGTTGTCCTCAATGTTCACTTTCGATCACCGCAGACACATAAAATGGCGCCTTGGGTGAAAAGGGTCTTTATTCACATTCTTCCCCGCTTGTTAGTTATGCGGAGGCCGCAATATAAATTTGACACGAACAGGTAAGAATTTCGAACATTTTCTTTATTAAAATCCACCGGTTTTGTCAAAACAATTTAAATTGTCGATATGTATAATTGTATTAGTATCACTAATTTCAAGAGTTCGTGTTTTTGGAATCTGTCTCATTATCACTAATAAGTCTATCGATATCAAAAAAAATACAAAATATTTTTTTCTATGTATTTCTGAAACTAGAAAATGTATATTTTGTAATTATCTGTATTTGACCGTTATATGCTACAACGTAACTTCTTGAATGTACACAATAATAACTAGACTGCGGACCTTTGCGTAAAATAAAAATTATCTTAGATAAATGCAACAAAAAAGAATTCAATAGAAATCTCTTTCGGTCTTTAATAATATAAGTGAGTTAAAAATACTACGCGTGGATGCCCTTAAGTTCTTTTAATATTTTCATTGTTTTGAATTTGAATTACCCAGTTTTGTCATATATGCATCAAATCCGCAGTCTAATAATAACCATTGTTATATTAACAATACTTGATGAAATCGTTTACAGATATAGTTCGGGTAGAGTGTTAATGAGAACAGTAAGAGGCAAAGAGAAAACTTGCTATTATCCTTACCAATCATCCACTCAGGAGGATAGCGAAGAACATTTAACACCTAAACGATTTCATAGTCGTGTCCCTTCGAAAGAAGATCTTTCACCTTCCAGGTATTGTAGATAAATTAATATTTTCCGGCAATCCCGGCCTAAATAATTATTACAACAAGTTTATCCAACGAGGCGAGTTAATAAGAATAAATAAATGCACAACGATTACGATGTGACATTTAAGAAACATTTACTTTTCCGACTGGTAGAAATCGATTCTGAATTCTCGACATTTAACAGCCAATAGCTGCAGGCATCAGGATCGATTAGGCTAATATTATTCAGCCGATTTAGTTGCATTTGCTGATTCGACTCGTTGGATCAACTTTAGACATAGACATTCTATCAGGAAACGTACAGAAATGACACGAGTAAAATGTAATTTTAATTGACAATTGAAACGGGAAATTAAAACATTATTAAGAACTTAATTCTGGTTAATTAAGACGAATTCTGTACACGACGATCTTTGTCACCGTTTTCGACTAGTAGCAACCAATAGCTGCGGCAGTGGGGTGGCTAGTGAGGGGGGGAATATAAACACAAAGGTGCCTTCTTGTCGCGTGAGGGCTATACATCATTTCGGTGGAAGAAAAATGTCTCGGGCAGATTAAAATGCTACACGTTCTTGTCGACCTCACATAAAATTGCATTATCTTGTTCGAAATACAGTCTCGCTGACGGTGCAAGATTCGGCGGAAGCTGTTTAATTCACGGACCCCCGTTGCCACCGCTTCCTCTTCACACCGAGTGCGAGGATCTTTCCGTTTCCGGCGACGCAGGGATCGAGGAAGTTAAAAGTCCAGTTCTGCGGAGTCCTCCGACCTTTTCGCACTCACGCTGCCCTCCAGAAATTCACAAATCCTGCATCTGCGTGCGTTTCATCGCTGAGCATACAAAAATGCTCGAAGATTCAACCAAGGTAATGTTCTCGAGAATGATACCTACAAGAAGTTGGGCAAAAAGTAATCTAATTAACGTGAAATCATGTTCATGCTTAATGATGAATGAATAACTTAAGTAATCATGATTAAGGAATAACGTAAGCAATCAAGTAATCATTATTAATGAATATGTAACTTTAGTGATCAAAGCAAATGTAATCGTTAGCGGTGATTAACACAATAATCATTCATGATTCAACAAAAGATTTGTTTTATTTGGGCCTCCAATAGCAAATGACGGAGAAAGATTCGCTTATATTACTTATTATATTACTTATTTATTATATTACTTTATATTACTTATTATTACCAAATATAATCGTGGTTACTAATTTATTCTAGTAACATAATAATTTCTCTTTTAAATGAAAATATTCATACAACTAAATTGTAACAATAAATGCAAAGAATTAAAGTAGCTTTATTCAGAGAAAAAGAATGAAATAAAAGTCATATAAGAGTCATATAAAAGTTATCATATTAGACAGCGGATCTTTATGCAAAATAAAAATTGTCTACATTCACTGCAAGAAATAGAATGTAAATAGAAAGTTATTCCTTCCTTTAATAATTTTATATGATTGGAACTAATATCTTGGCATTATCTATTTAATTTTTTCTCCCTGACACCTTAAATTGCACATGCTCAATTTCGTCATAAATGCATAAAATCTGCAGTCTAGTTAATATTATTTTTTCGGTTTTAAATCGATAACAAACGTATAAATTCTATTATATAATGCAGTCTTTATATACTCAATCGTTTGTTAGAACTGATCAATTGAGGCATTCATCGCAATAATACTTCTTATCTTCTTTGTCATTATATTTTCTATTCCTGTACTTGCTTTTGTTGTTTTCACGATCCTTTTCATTCAAAGTACTTCTCTGTTCATTTCCATCCTCTGTTTTTCCTCTTATTCTGCTGTTATTGTGTCTTTCATAGA